AAGCTGCTTGGAGGCTGGCCAAAAGCCAGCTTTGGTGTATGTGAGATTCTGCATGTGGAAGTGAACTCTCACGAAAAGGTGCTGATTTGGCAGATTGCGGTGCATTTTTTTTGGGGGAATAGGCATGAAAGCTGACATGAAAACTATACTGTTACTTGTTTCTCCATGAAACTCCCTATAATTACTGTACCAGGCAATGCTGAATCCCATGCTGCTTATGGTTCGAGCTTCACTTCTTGCAACACCGCCACCACCGAGTCCCAGCTCTTCCAGCCCTTCGCAGCTCACGCCGACCGCGCCGAAGGCCCCTTAAAGGAGCTCGACTGCCACCGGTGATGCACTGCTTGACCTGGCCCCTCGGCGATATATGGCGCAGGGGGAAACAGAACCGGGGCCTACTCGGGAAAACCGATGAATTTGAGGGGGCCAATCAATGTGTTTCAAGATGTTTCAATCAATGTGTTCTTGGTTGAAGATGCTCTTAAAATGCTTAAAGTCAACATTCATGAGTTGATTTATAGTCATCAGTTAGTTGGGCCCCAATATTGCTTGTGCCAGCGGCGTGGGTTCAACAACTACTGTACGTGGTACAGAACTCTTTGGCCACCAAAACCACCTCATTTTTGCTTAGAGAGGGCATCACTCAGATGAGGTGTATATACTCCCCAGCCAGTCAGCCAGAAGGTCGGGAGCATGTTCCAAATGAGTCGAGAAGAGCCGTGCGTTTTCGAGTGTTTGGCTCGGTCACCACGTCGACATCCGCCGTGATGGACACCTCGGAGGCTGCGATCGACCTCTTGTGGTGACCCCCAATGCGACGTCCGGATCATCGGAGAGGCGGGGGAATTCGGGCGGGGGAGTGGCGAGGTCGAGGCGGAAGGTTTGGGGGGACAGCTCATGTGGCGTTTTTGGTGCCGGTTGTGGAGTCGGTGTTGTAGGCAATGTTGTATGTTTGTGATGGCGTGTGGTATACATCCCAAACAGATGGAAGATATGGAAGAGGCTTCTTTAGATGTTCTTTTTTGTCGTGAATATGATATGTGAGCGTGTGTGACAAGGTCTTATAGTGGATCACTCACCCTTTTGAGATGTAGGTGTTGATGGCCCCAGGGTGTGGGATGAACTGTGATGAATTTCCTGCAGCATGTCAATCCATTATACTGTATGTTCCAATTGCCTGGCAAACCATTCACTTCCGTTCACCTCCACGTGATCATGGGAGACTGGTGAGACCCCATGGCTGAGAGGTCGATTGTCTCATCTGTTTTTGGATTGTTAAAGGTTCATTGTTTTGTTTATTCTTCTTTGTTTGAATGTTGTATGCCAAGCATTTGCTGCAGAGAGTATAGTAATTTGACCTTTAATGAGCACATTCATGGGTTTCTTGGTCCGCGTGGATTTCATGCTGGCCGCTTAGAGGGTCGCTGAGAAACACAACAACATCGCATATTGTGTTTCTCTTTCACTTTACTGTCACTTCATTTGTGTGTTGTCCTCTTTTTTGTTTTCCGAAAGACTCCTCAATCCGCATCCCCATATACCATCAACACCTGGAAGAGCATCCCCCCTCCCGATGCCGCCCGTCATGTCACTTGAGGTCGCTCAAGCTGGCTGAGCGCTCGTTGCTCGGCTGGGAGTCGATTCGAGCTCTGGTCGTGGCGCATCGTCACCACGACGAAAGATGGCTGGAGGCTTTCACTAGATTGATACTAACATTGACAAGCTTTGGCAGGTGCCGGGCGTCACAGTTTTGTTTGCTTAAAATCAAAATAATCCATCACCTGCTCTGCTTCTTTTGTGGAATGTCTGTTTAATCTCGGGGGCAAGGTCCCAGGCCACAAATCTGGTTGTGACTCCTTTGATGAAGTCGATAGTCCAGTGCAACAAGACCTGTGGACCATCCATGGTTTCCGCCCCAAGTGAGGTGGACTTCACCATTAAGTCGGAGTCGTTCCAGCCCCCTTTCAAACAATGTGTCCTTTTGTTGGCCATTGATAGTGATAAGTTCAATGATCTAATCCACCCACATCCTGAGTCCACGGCTGAGGATGCTGGGGTCAAAAGCGAGTGACGACCTGGAGAGGCGTCGGGCTCCAGAGATGTGTGACGTGGTGCAGCAACTGGCTGTGTGGATCTCGGTAGTTTGTATCGTGGTCCACGAACATGTTTGCTCCTCTTAGTCTTAGTCCTTTGTTGCATTGAGGTTTCATGGTTTCACTGAGGAAGATTTACAATAGGCTAAAGTGCTCTTTTGATGGTCACTGTTACAGATACGACAGATAGCCTCTTTTGTAGGCTTTGGAGTCCAGCGATGAGCGCGCACCAAGTTCCCACTTCACTAGATCACTCGCTACAGTAGTTTTTCCAAGAGTTGCTTCCTGAAAGCTTTATAAGACAATTCACACAGTTCTCAACCACCAATTGTCAGGATCCCGTTCGCTCAGATCCTTCCAGATACTAAACACCCACGGAGTCCGAGCCAAGCTCGCGAGGACGGCTCCGTCGGTCCAACGGCTCCGGAGGCCAAGACGAAACAAACGGGGCGCGAACGACCTCTAAACGGGCACCTGAACGAAAAAGATGACGGAAACGGAAACAAACAGATAGAGGACAAGTCAACTGTTCTTTGGTTCTTGTTTCATGGCAGAGGAACGCAGATTGGCGCTGTATCCATTGTTTCATTGTGTTGTTTGCTTGCTGCAGCATCAATGTTGGTGAAAGCACATTGTTGAACTGTGCAGTCCAGCATGTGATCATGGAACTGGGCTGAAGCGCGGATCCTTCATGTTGGAACTTGCTCATTCCGGCTCCCATACACCTAAGCATCATGTGAGTTGTTGTCCGTATTTTCTTGCACACCCAAGGAGACAACAAGCATATAAGACATGTCGTAAAGAAATGTTATGATCACGTCCAAGTAATTAACAGTATCCAAAGTGTTCATTCCTCCACAGCTTGCCCATTGTTGAATCTGCAACCTGCGTTTGGCACCATGGCTGGTTCCTTGGCTGGTCTTCCCACCGAAGTGCTGTGGCCTTCCCACATGGTTGAACGGCTGCCACTTCAGCAGCTCAGTCAGCTCCGCAGGGTGTGCAGGCGCCTAGGGGAGTAGTCACATCAAGCTTCCCTGCGATGGGACGTTACCTTTACATAGTTCAATGACCTTTGGACCCCGAACATGGGGCCCGTGGAAGCTTTCCGCAACACACCAGTATTCGTCTTGTTTTTCGCTATAGGTTTGCAAACAACCTCACTATTGTGGGTAGTTTCCTGTTGCTTTGTTGTTTAAAAATAGTCAGATAGACATTCATTGGCTCGTGTGGATTGGGAGACAACTTAGACCCAAGTGTTCCATATTTGAAAAGTGCAAAGAACATGTGCGGATCTTTCCAGCAATTTAAATTTAAGCTTTGCAAGTACTTGGTCACCCAAATGCTGGAGATGCCATTCCTTTGGCCAGTGCGAGTTCAACTGCTGCTTTTTGACGAGTCGACCATGCCAGGTCGCTGAACCAGACATGTGGCCCAGTGCTTCTGCAACGAGATCGAGAAGTGCGAGAAGCTTTCAATGACATGGTGAGCAGAGTTCGGAAGGTCTTGGAAGGACTTCCTGAAGACCTGCAGGAAGAAGGGAACGAACAGAAGGCAGTGGACGTGTGGGACTTGATGACTTGGCTGAAGGGCAAATGCAGCACAATTCTGGAGGTGTTGGAAGTTACTCGAGACAAGTACCTTGGCACGGAAGTGGTGAATGGGGATGTCTCTGAGATCTTGGCTGACATCGTTCAAAGAGCACGGCAAGAAGCTGTCGGGGATATCCGAACCCTTCATGTGGAAGCTGCTTGTATCTTCATCCACGCCGCAAGGCGAATAGAGGAGCTGCTGCAACCGATCGTACTGCCAAGACTTGTATCAGGCACCTGGGCTGTCCAGAACCATTTTCATCAATGTTGTTTGCTTGGTGTTGAACAGTTTCCCAGTGTTAACGGTCTAACAGATGCTTGTCGACTATGTCTTGGGGCTAGAATGGGGCCACTATATGATACCTGCTTTGCCATGCCTCAGGTCTACATTCCTCGTCCGTTGTCCTTTACCTGCTCATGCATCCTCCTTCTGAGATAGAATCAGTGTATTCCGTAACGGATCAGACTCGAAGCAGAACTCGGCCATCTCAGCCGCGGCAGTTCCCAGGGACCATCACCGAGGACACTGGGGGTGCCTGGCCAGAAGACTTGGCGCTGCCGGAGTCGATGCCCGGTGGAACTGACTTGGCGAAGCTGCAAGAGCTTGAGCACCAGCTGCTTGAGGCAAGAGCTCGGCAGCCCGGGGACAGCCAGGAACTGGCACTGATCTTGGCCAGACTTGGTCAGGTGAAAATGAATCTAGGTCACCAGGCAGAAGCCATTGAGCATCTGAACGAGTCATTGCAATTGCAGCGGTCCCTGAGGCCAGGCGACAGCATGGAAGTGGCCCTCATCCTGACGAGACTCGGTCAGATGAATAGACTTCAAGGTCATGACGCGGAAGCCATTGAGCAGCTGAAGGAGTCGCTGCGAATGCAGCAATCGTTGCACGGTGATTGCGACCACGAAGGAATTGCAGACACTCTGCACCAGCTTGGTGTTGTGACTGCTCACACAGGAGACCTGAAAGAGGCACTGTGGTACATGAAAGAGTCTTTGCGAATCGAGCGGTCCTTGCACGGTGACATTCAGCACCCAGGAATTGCAGACGCTCTGCATGAGCTTGGCAATGTGACCGCTCAGACTGGAGACCTGAAAGAGGCCTTG